TTTTAAGGATGGGGGTAGGAAGAGAAGGGGGGAGAGAGGAGGGAGGGAGAAAGGAGGGGAGGGAGGGAAAGACACTTCCCAAGAGGAGGAGGTCCAGAGCTGGTGCCAGAGGGAGTGGAGGTCTTTTCCCTTTTATAGATTTCAGGTTTTCTTTCTTCTCATGCCCCCTCCTCCTCTTATCTTGCTCAGTGACCAAAAGGGCAGGAAGAGAGCTGTCCAGAGGGTGATTACCTGTGTTGGAAAATGTGATCCTTCCCTTCCCCAAGAGGTTGTTAGCAACCAGGTAATGGGGAGTGCTGTCTACCAGTTTCCTTTTCTTTGATAATTAGCTACCTGTCCTTTGTCCTGGTCTCAGCTCCAAGCCTCTGTTCTTGTGTCCTGACAAAAGAAAATTCAGAGTTGGATATAGAAGAGAATTTTGTCATAAATGAAAGTAAGTCTTAAGCAAAGAACACTCTTGAGAGAGAAAGAGAGTGGGTTGTCTCCAACAGAGAACAACAAAGAAAACTTACTGATGCTACTTTCATATTTATTACTGTTTGATGTTTGCCAGAACTGGGGTCCACCTTCTACAGTCTTCACCAGTCCATTATTTAAATCCTCCTTCATGTTGGGCAGGGGAGCTTCTGACTCTACCTGGTCCTTTCTAAATAGTCATAGCAACCATCTCTTGTGTGTGTTGGGGAGACTTCATCTACAAGTCAATCCTATGTTAATGCAGTGCCAGAGTCAATGGCTGGACACTTAGTGCCCCTGGGCAGTGATCTCAATAGTCCCTATGTTAGAAATATTGGGGCACTGCAAGAAATCAGTTATGTGTGTTACTGAAAGCTCAGTCCTTGTCCCCAGTGCCAATCAAATAACAAGGACAGTTTTGAGGAAAAGGAAAAAGTTTTATTACTTTGCTAGCAAAGGAGAAGCACAGGGGACTCCTGTCCCAGAAGCTGTGATTCTGCTCATCAAGGGGAATAGGGCTTTTTTTTTTTTTTTTTTTTTTTTTTTTTAAAGAGGTGAATCTAAGGCTACATTCCATTAATTTTTTTATAAAGAGATGTAATTCACTTTGTAATTTGGAAGATGGTCATTTCTTAGATCTGCTGATGCCATCCCCAAATCTGAATTACTTCATTTCTGTGATGAGTGTACGTTTAAAGATAGATAACTCTGGGATGGGGAAAAAAGGTAATCCTGTTTCCCCTGAGATTAGGGAGGGGAAGAGATTAGAGAGAAGGAGGGAGAGGAAAATAAGTTGCAGTTCCAGAGCAGCAAGGGCTATATTCAATCATAATATGGACCACTCTTAAATGTGCTTAGAAGTTACTCAGCAGGGCAAACTTTACTTCTGCTGAAGGGTGTGCTGCTGAACAAAGTCTGGCAAGCAAGCACACTTGGGGCAGAAAGTCTGCCTGTTTCTATCCTTAGGCAGCAATGCCCCTTTCTCTGATAGGAGGAGAAAGAGGTTACTATCTATGAGATTGGCTAATTTTAAAATTGGGGAGGTCAAAGTGAAAGTTTTTTTTAAAAAAAATAGCTATGTCTGAATACAGGTTGGGAATCTCAGAATGGCCACAATTGGATCTTACATCCCAATTTTATACTTAAAGCTAAATTCTATATTCTGAAAATTTAACACTGGACTTTATGTTTCTCAAACCTGTCAGAAGTTAACCCCTTCATCTCCCATTCCTTTTGTATATTTCTTTATTTTTTAGAACTTTATTTTTGTATTTAAAGTTCACACACACCATAATTGTAATATAATTTTAAAAAGAGCACTTAACATTTAGAAACATCTCTGATACTTGGTCTCTTCTGTGTCCCAAGCAAGTCCTGAGATAAAGATAGAGCACATGTACTTACATCCTACAGTGTTGGAGGAGGACCAGAAACCCAATCAGACTTAACAGGGTTGACAGTCAAAATATCCCTAAGGGGATGCCATGGAAGGGAAATACAAGCCTATACAAAAATCTTAATTCTAATATTTTTTAAAAGTCACATATTCATTTCTTAGGCTTAGCCATCTACTAAGTTACACACACTCAGGTACTTGAAGGTTACTATGTAGCTCCTAGTTGTCTGAGTCAGGGCAATGTGCTACTTTCCCCACAACCAGATGCCATCTGTCCCCTGCAAAAGATCACTGGCACAGCTGCTGCAATGGTTGCAGCCAAGTGAGCTTCCAGCTGTGAAACCAGAACAACTCTCACTGCTACTTTCACTTAGAAAGCAAGTTATTGCGTTGGAGCTTTCCTGCGTGGGGCTGAGATACTGTATGGTCAGTAAGACAAGTGACTTTTCCTGTAGTGCTTTCTACAGTAAGATGAATTTCAGCACTTGGTCCTGAATACTGTACAGCAGCCCTAGTTCAGGACTTATATCCCTGCACAATTAAGATTATTTGATAGTTGACTCTTTGCCTTTTTGGCAATTCACTGGTGAATTTGCTGTGATGCAGGGGTGTTTTCCATACTCTGTTTAAAGCAGAGTTGACCTCTGGCTTGGATTATGCTTCTCAAGTCTGGAAGGAGATCCCAGGCTCCCTCTTCTGACAAAGTCAGGGGATGTGATTTCAACTTGTTCTATTCTTTCCTAGGTCTCTTGGTGTGTGTTTGCCTCAAAAGGAGGTTTCCCAACTAAAAATTCATAGCAAAGAACTCCAAGGCTCCAGAGATCCACCTTCTCATCATATATCTGGCTTTAATCATCTCAGGGGGCAGGTAGTCCAGGGTGTCAAGAAAGTAGTTCTCCTGGAGATTGGAGCGTGTACTGATCACTCAGAATTGGTGATTTTAAGCTCTCCAGCTGATCCAAGTAGCTTGTTCTCTGGCATAATGTCTCTATGAATAGCTATCTTTGAATAGTAGCAAGACAGAACATTTGCCAGTTCAGCAACCTAAGTAGCAATTCTCTGCTYCTCAAACTTGGAAAGTTTAAGAATTTCTCTTTAGACTGTTTCAAGTGGTATATATTCTAGAATTAGGTAGACTCTGGTAACATCATGAAATAACCTTACAGCTTGAGAATATTAGAATGCCTATGGTGGGACTGGATTTCTACTTTTATCCTGATATAATGCTCTACTCATGCATTCTCCAGCTGAACTTTAAACAATTTAGGAGCCAGGATAAACTTGCTTTGTTTTCCTCTTCTCAAATAAACATTACCAAAATCTCCTTTACCCAGTGGGGGAGCAGTGTCAAATCTTCCAAAGCCCACTGCCTTTTCTTTTGAGTCTTAATTTTTATGTTTTGTTGCCAGTTCCTTTTCAGGATTATTTCCAGGTGCTTATGGCTGAGGCTGCTCATTTTTCTGGATATCGTTCACAAGATGACAGGCTAAAGTACACTAGTTGTCTGCAATTGCTTCTGTTGCTAGTTTCTGACAGGAGACAAACTTTTTGTTCTTAAAAAAAAAAATATGCTGGGAAGAATTTAAAGAACATAGATTCACTCAGTCTGGCTACTTCTTACAGAAGCAGTCTGAGAAGGAATGTACTAAGTCCCAGAACATGTTTTGGACTATCACCCAATGGAACTGTAGCCTATGTTGGAAAGGAAAATAAGTTTATGGTATTCATGAGTGAAGGATGGATGTTTTGAGAATTCCATGGTTCGTTTCCTTAATGGGCACCAAAATGCAGTTTTCTTTAGATTTGACCATGTTGCCCTACCTACTAGCCACCTTCCACTTTTGATACCAGATCACAGAGTCCTTCCAATAACTCTCCTTAACATATTTCTTAATTGTCTTTCTTGACTATTTTTAAATTGGCTTCCTTTGTTTCTACTTGTTTATTCTCAGGGTTAGTATCTCTATTGTTTCTCTACAAATCACTTGATAATATTCATTAGTTTCAAAGTCAATTTAAAGAAATCCTGTGACCCGGCTATGTTATTGCTTTACATTCCATTGCTCATTATTACTACCTAATAGAATTATGTTATTTTACTTCATTTTCAACTGCCTGTTGCAAGTATGTAGAGATACAATTGATTTGTGTATATTGATCTTATATACTGTGATTGTGTTAAATTCCTGTATTTTCATGCTGTTTTTTCTGTAGATTACTTAATATTTTCTATGTACATAATGATGTATATAAAAATAAAAGTAGTTTTGGTTCTTCTCTTTCCAATCTGTATTCCTTCATTTTTCTTGTCTCATTGTAATGGCTAGAGTCGCCAGTATAATGTTGAAGAGAAGTTGTAAGGCTAGATATTTCTTGTTTTGTTCCCTATCTGAAGGGAGTGGCATTCAATCTTTCACTGTTAAATATGCTGTTAGCTGTGGATTTTTCACAGATGTCCTTCTTGTTCCTAGTTTTCTAATAGATTTTGCTATAAATGGGTGCATTTTACTGCATATAAATTATACTTCAATTTAAAAACTAATTTATTAAGATAATATTAAATATTTTATATACTAAAATGAACAGAGCAAGTTGTCTCAAGTATTAATATAAGTTGTTTAAGAAACAACTTAAATTGTGTAAAGTCTAAAAACTTTAAGAAAAACATGGTCAAGGCTGAAATTTTATTTTAAGTTAGTCATCTATCATGATAAAGGTGTAAATAAAATATTATTTGAAGATTTTACTTTTTGAATAGAAAATAAACCTAAGAAAGGAATTGCTATCATTCCATTTAGTAAGCTAATATAATATTTCAAAACTCAGTATTATTTCTCAGTGATAAACTTGAAAAAGCCTCTAAAACTTGAGTTGAGATCTTCTGATTAGCACCACTGAGAGATTGCAATTTCTTTTCTTTTCCTTAGAATAATCCATAATATATTTGACATGCAGTAATTATTATTTGGCATATAAATACTGTAGATATATTTTACATAAAAAATATATCTACAGTATTTATATGTAGTTTTAACCATGGGTCATTATAACAAAATTATATTCTAGCCCTTTATATAGGTGAAAAAGCAGTCTCAGAAAGAATAAATATAATTGTTTCCAATTTTATGATAACTTTTTTGTACAACAGGAGTTACTTAAAGATCCACTGTACATTGGATTACGACAGAGAAGAGTGAGAGGTCCTGAATATGATGACTTTTTGGATGAATTCATGGAGGCAGTTTCTTCCAAGTATGTGTGATCTTTATTTTATCTGTTTTAATTGAATTTCAAAATCTAAAGATAAGCTAACATACCAAAATTTAAAATTCCAAGTTTTATTAAGTACATTGTAATATTTACTAGTGAGTTGAATGAAAAAAAATCATATCTGTCTATATCTTTACAACTCTTGTATATCTATCTACCTCTAACTATTATTGGCCATAAGATAATGTCATGTGTCTATCCTTAAAAAGGTATTTATGTTGCTATCCCTGAAGATAGGTTTTTCCTTCAAGAATCTTTAGAATTTGTGCCTGTGGAAATGCATGAATATGGGAAAGGAGGCAGTGTCCAATGACAATAAATGTAAGAAGGAAGTCTTCCTTTTTATATTTATTGGAAGTCTGTACTTCTTTCTGGTTTCTGATAAAAAATTTGATCTTCAATCATGTTTATGACTGGTCTGAGACTTAAATGGCAGGAAAAACAGAAGAGGTGGGACTAAGCAAGAGTTGGTATAATCAATGGGTACAAAATAGAGTCAGAACCAGAGTATCCAATTATAATTCATCAATCTCTGATTAAGTCTACATATTTGATTAAACTATAGTACTATATCTTCATCTAATATAGTTAGTATTTGATTGTAGGCCAAGTGCTACTGTAAATATTTCCATTTTTTTCCTTAAAATAAGACATTTTCACTGTAATTTTTATAATAGATTCAGAGAGTTTTGTCAGGCCAATTGTCAACCATCTTCTTTGTTACTGTATAGTCACAAAAAAACAAGTGCTTTTAGTTGGGCATGGTGGTGCATGCCTGTTGTCCTAGTGGCTTTGGAGGCTGAGGCAGAGGGATTGCAAGTTCAAAGCCAGCCTCAGCAACTTAGTGAGGCCCTAAGCAACTTAGCAAGACCCTTTCTCAAAAATAAAACATAAAAAGGACTGAGAATGTGCTCAGTGGGTTAAGAATCCCTGGTTTCAATTCCTGGTAGTGCGTGCGCACATGCGCGCGAGCGTTCTCTCTCTCTCTCTGTCTCTCTCTCTCTCTCTCTCTCTCTCTCTCTCTCTCTCTCGTGCGCACACTTGCACACACACACACACACACACAGAAATCAAGTGCTTTTAAAAAATACATATTTTGCTTTGGCTTTTCATACAAATAGCCTCATCACTAGAGTCATTTGTAACTGGAGGTGTACTTAAGGTTTCTTGTTATAATGTTTATTGTTGAGCAGTTGTATCCAATAGCAGAGAAGTGTTTTTGTCAGTTGCACAATATTTAGAATATTTTGACTCATACCCAAGATTTTAGTGTACAATATGTTGTCATTAGTAAGAGCTATGTTTTAAAAGCACATGTTTGATTTTTTTATTGTTATTATTTTACTTATTTGGTTAAGCTATAGATGTTGTATAGTTTAAAGTTCAAGATTGCATGATATAGCGAATTCCCAGTAGTTTTTCATATTGAAAGTGTCTTAGCCTGTAAACTCTTCTATAATGTTTTAATTATAACTTTCTAATAGAAAATTAATGAGGAGATTGTATAGATGTTTTAGTCAGTTTTTTTTTGTTGTTGTTGCTGCGCTTAAAAGATGTGAAAATAACAATTAGAGGAGGAAAAGTTTCTTTTGAGACTCACACTTATAGAGGCCTTACTCCATTGAAGGCCAACTCCATTCTTTGGGGATTGAGGTAAGGCAGAAGAACATCAAGGCATAAGAGTGTGGTTGAGGAATGTGGCTTGGACATGGCACCAGGAAGCAGAGAAAGATGGCTCCTCACCTTGGATTAAATATGAACTCCAAAGGCACGCCCTTATTGACCCACCTCCTCTAGTTATTCCCTACCTTCTGACAGTTACCACCCAGTTAATCCCTATCAGGGGATTAATGCACTGATTAAGTTAAGGCTCTCATAACCCAATTATTTTACCTCTAAACTTTCTTGCATTGTCTCACACAAGAGCTTTTGGGCTACACTCACATCTAAACTGTAACAATAGATAATGCTCTGCAGCTATATAGAATAAAAGGAAATGTAGATCCCAATGTATTTTGTTTCATTTTCTATTTGCAGAAATAAAGTCTGTCTAAAATAAGACAATATACTTACAAAGAAGCTATTATACACGTTATGATCACTTAACTGAGGATAAAATAGAGAAGATATTATTATTTGGAACTAATGAAATGCTTTCTAGAGAAAATGAGATATAAACTGATATTGAATGATCTTTGCCAATCCAGAATAAGAAAAAAATATTTTTTCAAAACATTGAATTATTAGTTAGAACTAACAGTAATTTTAAACATAAAAGCACCTATAAGTCAAGAGTTGTGCTTCTGAGGTCTTGTCAGAGAAAAATGCTAAAGACTTTAAAAAATACCTATTGGCTTGACAGTACTTTGGAAAAGTTTTCAAGGAGTGAAACCTAGTATTACTCAAATTGGGAAGTAGTTATGAACATTAAGCACAAGTTTATTTAAAAAGGAAATGACTTAATTTCAAGTGGAACATAATGATTGTGGGCAAAAATCAGACTCTGGGATGAGGTTTATTAAGGAGTGCCTTTGGAAGGGAGGCAACAAAAATGGGAGTGGAGGGCTGGGGTTGTGGCTCAGTGGTAGAGCACTTGCCTAGCATGTGTGAGGCCCTGGATTCGAGTCTTAGCACCACAAATAAATAAATAAAACAAAGGTCCATTTACAATTAAAATAAATATATATTTAAAAAATAGAAGTGGATAAAGGAAGAAGTTGTACTGCAATATGAACCCATAAATAGCCTTATATAACTTCATTGGAACCATATTTCATGGTATTTAGATTGTTAAGGGGAACTAATTTCTGCCAGTCCCTATCCCCTCCCACTGTCCACTCCTCATACTATGTGATTTTTTTTTTTAATTTCCCAATCATGGAAAGATTGGAGTGGAGCAGCTTCCAATTCTTTGTCCTGGTTTTCTCAACAATAATAGCTCTTACCTTATAGGCCAAGGACTTGATGAGGATATTGAGGTATACTAACCAAGTATGAAATCAGAAGATGATTTCATATAGAGTTTGAGGAATCACCACCAGGTCATTTCATGGTCCCATTAGACCCGCGATGAGTTGTACCTTGGCTGGGACCCATTTATTATTGGCCTCCAGATGCCTCTACTTTAACAAGGGGAAGAGAGGAGGACAGCATGTTGAAGTCTCAGGTCTCTGGGTATCACTGACAAATTTTTGTCCAATAGGTCCTAAATATTTGAGTGTTTTCCCCCTATAATTGCCAGAGTAGAGGGTTGTAGGTCCCTTTGGAGTGAACTGGGGAATATTTTTACCATAGTGTTGCAAGGTCCTTCCTTCTGAAAACTAGGCCTCTTATTTAGTCTGTGTGTAAGTTAAATGTATAAAATTTATCACAGGTTTGGAAACACAAAAAAATTGTGACTTCATTAGGGCTACTACTCTCGATTTTGTGGCCATTCATCTTGGATTTCTTTTAATAATATGATGAATAGTAGCCTTGTTAGCTCTCTAGTTTCCCATTAGTAATGCAAATTCTGTTAATTCTCAGTAACTCTTTGTGGATCAGTTTCACACACAACTGTCCTTGCCATTTTTAAGATAATTGTACCTGCCTGGCTGTTAAACATCTTTGGTTGGTCCTGTCATCTTCATTGCTATCTGGAAGCCTTCTTACACATGAGTCTTTTCTTCCTCAGTCATCACCTTTAGAAGAGAGATACTTCTAAACTTTTTAGTAAAGCTAAAATGTTTAGCATTAACTTTTTAATGCTAAAAAGCATATTTAGCATATTTCTTTTGATTTTGGTAAATGGTGTATTTTCTGCTCCTTCTTGTGGAACATAATTATCTGATGAGTTTTCTGGCCCTGCATAATTAGTATGTATATTCCAAAATGCCCATTTCTCTGAGTTTTGTAATCTCCTCTTCTGTTGTCTATCCAGACATTTCTGGCATTTATATCCACATTTACTATGAGCCATTAGTTTGATCATGTTTCTAGGAACCATCTTAATTAGTGAGTTTGTACCATCTCCTGAGTTTCTTGCCAGTTGTTAAATCCTGCCTCTTAGGAGAGTCCCTTAAAACCAATAAACCCCCCTTATCTAATTTTAGGTTCCAGCCTCTTTGATCAAATACCCCTGGAATTTAATCCCACATGTATTATCCTGGCTAATGTGAACTATGTGGATCTTGCACTTCCTTTGAAATATAGTCATTTTCTTTCTTTATTAGCCTTAGCATATTCCAAGTGATCCAACCCCATCGTAACTATCTGCTTTTTCAGAATGGTGTTGGTACCATCATAGAGTGTTACCTGGGATGCATATTCTCAAATGAAGCTTAGTGTTCAAGAAGTTTATAAGCAGTGCCTTTGAGATTAACCTGTGTGGAAGGAAGAGAAAGGTGGCAGGAATGGGTAGAGGGAGAGGTTGAGCTGTGTTGTAGGTACAGTGACAACTTCCATTAACCTCGGAGCTACTTTGGCTCTTTAGAGTTGCCACTGGTTGAGCTGCAATGGCCAAACCTTTGTATTTCTGCATCTGTTAGTCATTGGATATAGGTCATCCTGGGAAAAAACATAGCTTATGATCTGTGTGAAGTGGCTTTCTGTACCTGAGGCAAACTGGGACAGCAGTGGGGGATATGAGGGGCATTTTATGGTATTCAGCACAATGACTGAATTCAGAATCTTTTGATTAAGTAGCCTAGACATTAATTAGCTTCTCCAATAGAAGACCACAGATTTGCTTTCATAATATTTGCTTGTTCAAATAGTTTTATCACTTGGACCTAGTCATTTCACATATGATAATAGAGGTAAAGAAAAAATTTAATGCTCAAATTGTTCACTGAGCATCTTTGTAATAGAATTTTTTTTTCCATTCTTCCAGAACAGCATACTATATTTGCTTTCCTCTGATTTTATTGATTGCTTCTTCACATTTTCCTAGCTTATTTTATCTCATCTGCTTGACCTGTGAATATTAGAGTGTTTCTGGGTTT